GACTGCTTGTTTTACTGCAGAATTCAAATACACAAAATTAGCAAGATCAGCGCTCAGAGCGTCGGCTGCTGCCAAATAAGAGCTGGGAGAAGTCCTGTGTATATTATTAAATTGTGCATAATGATGGTGTGTGCCTAACACCCAGCCTTCATGGATGAGTACATCTTTATCTCCCAGGCTGTGACAGCTTGTTTGAACCAAGGAGCGCAATTTGATTTCTAACCCTTCCCCATTATCAAGATGTTTGCAGTGTGCACACAGAGCAAGAGCGCACTGATCCCTTGCCTTGCCACCTCCTTCATCTCTTAAGTCACTGCTGTGTTTTCTTCAGTTAGCACCAAACCAAAGTGGTCTTGCTGGTGACTGTCCTCCCACAGCACGTTAAGAACTGACTGCGTCCATGAAACCTGGTTAACCCACATGGCCTGTTCCATGTAACTGAACAAATCTGTAAAAGACCAGGAATGAGTGTGTGTGTTTTTGGAGAGACTGACAAGGACCGCTAGCCATTCTTTAAGTACCTACCAGGTGTCAGGTCTGAGGACAGGTGCTTCCAAGCAGGATCTCATTTGATTCTTAGTGCATCTCTACATTGTAGCTATCGTAACCTCAAATTTCTGACACTGCAATAAGGGTTTCAGAGCTTGAATGTGTATCTTGTCAAGGTCATACAGCCAGTAATACATGAGAATCTGGGGTCAAGCTAATGTGCACTTCAATCCCAAGTCCTTGTTCTGCCTGCAACACCTTCCCATAAAGGATGGAGAGGAGAACACAAAGGACAGGATGAAAAAAAAAAGCCGATGCACAAAAAGGGCAAAATAATTGGCAGAAATATGAGACTATCAGAAAGAGACCATTAACAATTTATACGGGTAGGAGGGAAGGATATAACTGAAAAGGAAAACAAAGAAATTGACAGAAAAGAAAATTATGAGGAGCAGTAAACATCCTAAAACATAAAAAGTAAGATTTCCCAAGAGATGCTTCAGAGAGAAACCAAAATAAATGACGAGAAGACAGGAAGGAAAACAGAAGATGGATATGGAAGCTTTATTCTCTGTGGCTTCCTGGAAAGTTCTTGCAGGTTATTTGAGCAGGGACTCTGACAGAAACATGATTCGGCTCTGACATTAATGTTATCTAATCTTTGGGGAAGTGAATCTAATATTTAAAATTTTAGACAGCCTCTCACCTCTCAGAGCGATTCCTTAAATCTAAAGGTGAGTCAGGGGAGGTAAAACATTTTCCTGGGAGCGAAAGCTGTCCTCCTGTGAGGTAAATTACATCTTCCTGGACACTGTGCACTATAAATCTTAGTCCTTGCAAATTGTAACCACTGACTGCTCTGAACCCCAATGAGGGGTCAGCAGCTAAAAGAGGCCTCGTATCATGATTCTCCAAAATTGCAGACCCTTGTGGTGCGGAAATCATTTCCTGGGGCTCCCGGGTTGTTCCTCCCGGGTTGTTTCTCCTAGGGAGAAAGTGATTTTGAGGCTTTGACTGATTTCTTTTTCCACTGAAGCAAATGAAACATACTGAATAGAAGAAAACCTCCCCCCTGCTAGGATGCCTCTGTCTTCAGCCATCTCAATGTACTTCCATATGTGTGTACATGTATGCGTGTACAGATGCATATGTGAGCAACATGTACATGCATTTGGGTTTAAGTTGTATATATCTGTGGGAAGATGTGTATGTGCGTGCGTGCGTGCGTGCGTGCGTGTGTGTGTGTGTGTATGTGTGTGTGTGTGTGTGTGTGTGTGTGTGTGTGTATGTGTGTGTGCGCGCACGTGCATGCGTGTGTGCATCTCGGGGAACAGGTGTATTTATCTGAACTCCTGGGTGTACACTGCCCTTACTCTCCCTGTTTCCAAGTAACAAAGTGGCTCTGTGGAAATGTCTCTAGAGTATCAACATATAGGAATGAAAGCACTAACTTACAGTCTGAAAAAGTAGCTGAAATTCTGTTTGAATGAACTCTTCCTCTTACTGTTTTGTTGCATGGACAAGTCACCAAGCCTACCAAAGTTCAATTTCCGTATCTATCAAATGGAATAGGAATGCCTGCCTCATTACTGTAAGGACCAATTGAGGTAACATTAAAACTAATGTATGTTCTCACTGACTTCAAGGCAAAAAATGGTAAGTAACAGATGATTATTAATACCACTAGTTAGACATGAGCCCAGTATTGTCCCCTTGAAAGCCCAGGCCTAGCTGGAGAGGAAATCACAGAGACTGGACAAGTTTTCCAATAACCATAGGCAAGCCAGGAACCTCCCCTGGCTTTTAGAGCAGTCCTTCTCCCAAGAAAGCTCAGGCTCACATCTCTGTACTCGTCTCAGAGTCCATGGGGTCATTTGGACTGTCTTTGATGCTGAGGAAGAGAAATGAAGATCAAGGCCTTCAAAACACAGCTGTGCTGCACTCGTCGGGAGTCCTGATCTCTCTACCTTGGGTACACATGTTATCTTGCCACCCATTCCTGGGAACCCAGAGCAAAGCAGGTTCTCTCTTTATCCTCTGCCTCCACTCCATACTCCTTCTGAAAGGCAAAAGATACCTTGCCTACAGCTCAAGGGAAAACCTAGTTAACCTTTCTAACACTATAGCAGATGTTAACAGTCTGCCTTGCCTTTCATAATGCCAGTCCAGGCACCAGTCAGCAACCGTCTGTTAGAAATACAGAGAGTGTATGTCAAAATCCACTCGCACGTGCTGAATCGAAAAAGAGCAGTTATTACTGCAAACTCTATATGCATTATTTATCAAATGAATTCTCTGCAGCAGGAATACAATTCATTTCTACTCTCTCTTTCTCTCTCTTGTTCTTTCATTTCAATAGGAGATGAAAGGAACCATTTATAGGATCTTCCTGGGCATTACTCATGCAGTATTATCCCTTGCTGGGGTTTAAAGTCATCCCTGCCTGTTGCTTGAATAGAGAAGACAAGAAACCCTGTCTAGCAGGCTTTCTTGGGCTCCCTGTCAGTGGCCACCGCTGACACCCTATCCCATCTCCTAGAATTTGAATAGATTTATCTTTTGCATGTATTGGAGGAGATGGGAACCTTGACTTGGAGTTAGGCGAATAACTTGTTAGAGTATTTTATTACTGTAACATAAATTTTAACAAATTACAAGGTATGGAAGATACTTACACATCTTTTAGAGGTCATAGTGAGAATAGAAAAAAGGAAATCTCTTTTACTCAGCTTGAATTGGTATATGCCTTAAAATGACAACCATTAATCTTCATAATCATATAGGCTGAAAGTTAGTTTTGCCTTGTGGAAATGGTGGTGGTGATGGTGGTATTTTAGATATTAGTAGTGTTGAAGGCAATAAAAATGGCATTGGGAATGATAAAAATAATGATGGTGGTGTTATCAGAAAATAGTAGAGGTGGTAATGGTGGCGGAGAGGGAGGTAGTAATGCCAGCATTGATTATGGTGAAGGTAAGACCAGAATAGCTTGCAGTGCTGTGGTGAAGTGGTGAAGATGATTGTGTTTTATGTGTATTGTGCTAGAGCATAATGGTTTACAAGAATTCTAAATAGGACACATCTTTTAAAAGAAGGAACATTGCTCCTGCCTCATATCAGAGCTCTAAAAGAACCTCTGCTCTTAATTTTTGTCTGTCATATTAGAAGTTAGACAATGAAAGTTCCATTTCTGAGGGACTACCTGCCTCTTGGTACTAGAAATGCTTTCTCATTTTAAACAGTAGGAATCTCAATCCCTTTCTCTCCTAAAAATCCAAATCCTTGGTAGTATCCTGTTCAAAGCCTGTTCATTGGACTCAGAGCAGTTATTTCCCTAGTTATTGTTTAGTTTAATTGGTATAAGTTTGGCCGCCCCAACCACATCTGAGCATTCTTCAAAGCAGTGAGTGTATATCCTTTATTTTTCTTCAGTTTCACACCCTTAAAATAAATCTATGTTAAATAAATGAATGGATGGATGGATCAATGAACAGATACATGGTGTTATAGTTTTATCCTCAAAATACATGACACACAAGCATCTAACATAGTTGAGCCATTAGATTAAGCATTATTACTACTTTAATTTGTCTTACTTAGCTGTGAACTGAATCAACTACAAAACTAATCTGCAAGGCAACATACATCCACTTGTATAATAGTGGCCCAATTGTTATGGAAGCAACCAATCACCATCTGCTTGTATTTGATGCCCATTTCACCATCCTACTCCTGGTACTATAAGTCTGGTCAATAATTCACATGGAAAAGTCATAGACCCAAGGGAGAAACTTATTATTGTTGTTTAACTAAATTGACTCAGCATCATACTGCCTTTTAATAAATTCTATGTTTATACTCATAAACAGGCTCATGTTTTCAATGATTGTTCCCCAGCTAGTGCCACTATTTTGAAGTCTGTGCAACATTTAGGGTACAGGGCCTGGCTGAAAGAAGTAGGTCACTAAGGGTGAGTCTTTGAAGGTTAAACATACCCCTGGTTCCTGTTGTTCATTCTGCCTTCTGGTCTACCTCAATGTGAACAGCTCCTGCTACACATTCTTTTTAATATGAATGGAACTGTTCTGCCATGCCTTCTTTATCATGATGCACTGAAAATAAAAGCTGAAACAATTTTTTTTTTCCTGAAGTATTTATGTCATATGTTGTGGTCATAGTAAATGTGCAAAAGTAATTAATATAAACACAAACATCTTCTCGGGTCTCGCAAGAAAGATGGAAGTAAATTACAACAACTAATATACCACTATAATTATACCACTATATCAGTCTACAATTGTTGAACTATGTTAGGTGCTATACTAAGTATTTCACATGCTTTATCTTCTTTAATTATCACATAGAGCCACAGAGAGCCTGGGAAGTGGCTATGAGTTCTCTACTTTCAAAATGAAACACTTAGAGATCTGAAGTAATTTTATTATAGCCTCATTATCAACTATACTTTGGATTTGGATTCAAATATAAATTAAATAATAACTGTCACTTACCACTTACATGGCTTTTATTAAACCAATTCTCATCTCTGCATCTTTGCATCTGCACCTGAAAAGTGGAAGAATAACACTGAACTATAGGGTTGGGGCATTAAATAAGGAAAATACTTCTCTCTTATATACAATAATGATTAGAAATGTAAAATTGATATACTGTTATAAATTTTGTATACACATACACACATCTTTGTGTTCTTTGGCCAAGATTAAAATAACTTGTTCAGTAGATAGTAGCTCTGTTTTTCCTCTCCCTTTTTCTACTTAAGGGCCTCTAGTTTTTAGGTGATGGAAACAGGCTTGATTATAGATCAGATTACAAAGCCCATGCTCTCCCACAGGGCACAGTGCAGACTTAAAAATGGGATTTTCGCCTGGGCACAGAAGGTGAATTCTGGGGTGGTTCTGGGAATGTGACTCAGTGATGACAAAGCAGGCAGACTAGTTCAGCCTAGCCGGTCGGCTCACTCAGCAAAATTTAAAATCTTACCCGTTTGTATCTGGGCAATGGCGAAGTCAGGAAGGCCACCACCACCCTTTAACTGTCTATGAAAACAAAGTCTCCCCAGTGCAGCTCTATGATGTGGACACTTGTTCAGGCTCCTGGCAGACAAGCCTCCCTCACCACCCAGCAGCCTACAAGTGACAACTCTGGGGCTGTTTCTTTCCTGCTGCTCTACCCAAGTGTTAAAAATTAATATAACTCTGATCGCACCAACAGAGGAAAAGTTAATAGAAGTTTTATTTTTAATATATGAGGAACCTTAACAGGATTTAAGCTTAATGCCTCAGAAATGGGAAGGACTGCTGACAATTTATCTACCAAAATCTGTAGACTTTAGTGGGGAGCTAAAGAAATAGAAGAAGTATTATTCTAGCAGCTAGCAGCAGGATTGAAATGCCCCCCACAGCAATTGGGAAAATTCCCAATAGTCTGCCAGCCCAAGAAATTGACTCATAAATTGTCCAAATCCTCAGTTTCCCCTTATTAGCTTGACCTCCAGTTTTCTTTGCTATCCAGGAAATAAATAATCTCAATTTCTTAAAGATATAATAGAGCTTGTCACTTAGAATCATAGAATTTTAGAGTTGATTTCTTCCAGCTATAATAATTTATGATACTAAGAGATGTGAAGGGAAAGTTTATAAGAGCAAACTGTGCTGAACACAGGCCATACATTTTCTTTTAGACATGGCTCTTGGCTGTTTTCAAGAGCTACTAACTTAAAAAAAAAAAAAAAAAGCTCTTGTGCAAACATGCAAAACATTCCTTTATACATTTATTTTATACACTTAAACCCAACTGCTTGAGCTGTTCAGTGTTGGACTATGTTTCATCAGAGAGATCATGAACTACTTTTATGTAGGCATTCTTTTACCAGATATTTATTAAGCATTTGCTTTGACACAGCTATAAGCACTCAGGGGAAAAGAAGCAACCAAGACAGTTGAAAACTTCAGCCTTTCTTTAACTTTCACTCTAGCAAGGGGAAACAAAACTAGACACCGAATAAATAATAAGTTGTAGGGCATGAACCAAAGCAAGGAAGAGGAAGCCAGTGGGAGAGTTCATTTTGTACAGAGTGGGCCTACAGATGAGCAGCACTAAGGTGATTAAAGAAGTCAGAGAACAAAGCACATGACCTGCCAAGGCTAGAGGATTCCAGGCAGAAGAACTCAGACCTTCAAAAGCCGGGGTAAGAGAATCATTAGCAAAGCATCATGGGTTGTGAGTGCAACTGAGAATATGAAATAAAGCAGGAGGAGGTGTGACTGAAGAGATGCTACAGGTCAAACAACTGGAACAAGCAGGGTGGCCACACGCCTTGATTGTCCGGGACAACCCTACAGTAAGCCTGCTCTCCCGGAAGTAGCATCAACAGTGTCCCTGCTCATTTTCAGAGTCTCTCCACTTGGTTGATAAATGATATATTCACTCTTGACTCTGGGATCACATTTAGGACATTGGCCTTTTTTTAAGCAAGATGGGAACTCTGGGAGTTGGAACAGAAATGACTTTAACCCTTTGTGACTTGCTTTGGCTTATACATGTCCAGCCAGCAGCCTTTGGGACACTTGCATCCAAGAATGGCTATGAATGAGTCTCAGCACATTAATATATGACATTACCATGTTGTGATGTCAATATTAGACACTCCTGTGTGTCCACTGCTGTGTTTGGGAGACCCTCACCAGGAGCCCCAGTAGGAGTAATGAACTACCTCAGACACCTTTGTCATGCTCAGATTGTCCCCTTTGTCCCTCCAACCTTGTCCCACTCTTCCATTTTGCCAGATGGTGACAACTACTGATGTTGCAGTATCTGATTTAAATATTTCATCCTTCTGACATCATCATTGGCACATCTACACATCCTTAAATCCTTACAAAATTAGCAGGCTCCTTGACTGATACCATGAGTATTTTGTTTCCCATTCTATTGTGTTTGCACATCGTGTTTAGTCGCTAGTCAGCATGTCAACTCCTGCTAGACAGTATGACTCTCCGGAGGAATCCCTGGCAATAAAAATAAGCTGATGCCGGTTAAGGTTCTTCACTTTCCACTTAAAATATGCAGCAATCCTAAGAAATGTAATGTTGACCCCATCCTGATAACAAACCTAGCGAGTATAATGCCAGCCATTCCATTTTTTTCCCATGGAATCTATGGGTTGGGAATTTGGATGGAGGCTAGAAGACATAACCAGCATCTGACTAGTAAAAATGACAGGAGAGCAGGAGAGCAGGGCCGGCAGATCATACCTGAGATGGCTTCTTAAATGTGTGCCTGATTCTTGTGCTGGGATGATTCAGCTGTCCTCACTGGGGGTCCTTATGTGTGACTTCTCCAGCATGGTGGCTTATGTAAGGTATTTCCTAGCCTTCACTATTAAGCCTTGGCTGTCATACAGCCTCAGTCCCACAATACTGTTGATTAAAGTTTCTTAACACTGTCTAGACTCGAGCAGAGGGAGCATTTAACTCACCACTCAAAAGGAGAGGTCCAAATAAATTTGCACACACTTTTAAAACTCCCATAGTTCCTACTGTATTGGTGAAGTAACCAGGGCTCTGGGAATGTAGGTTATTTCTCCAAATCCTACAAATAAGCCTATTGGGACCAACAATCAGCACACTCTTTGATGACAAGTCACGTGTTCCAACTTATTGGCACACCTGCTCTGGGGAGCAGAGACTGTCACGTCATTAATGAACTAATGAATGCAGTATAGCCAGCAGCTCCTGCATGACTTCTGACTTCTGCTTATAACCTAAATGAATGTCACACTTTGTGGGAGAGGTGTGTCTGAAAAGACATTGTGGTAAAGCTCTACTCGCCTATTCCCTCTTAACTTCAAGACATGTTCTTGCTCCCATCGTCAGTTCCAACAGAGAGATACTTTTAGGAGAAGCTGAGCAACAGTTGGGCGTCTTAAGCAACACTACGGTTAATTACCACCTTCTTTCCCCCATGTGGATAATAAGAAGCCTGAGCACACTGAGCACCCTGCCTTTTCCTTCTGCTCTTTTCATACAGGTCAGATATGGCTATTAGGATGAAAATAGTTTCATCCTAATTTTAAAGAACAAAAACAAAACTACTGATCAAGAAAATGATGTCACAAGTTACCTGTGTGGCCTAGCGTTCACCTCCTCTTTGATCCTCTAGTAATTTTTTTTTGTCCTTTATTATTTAATAATCGATGTTCTGTGACCTGATCACGGGCCTACACATAACTGTTTGGGGAATGGACTGTACATTTCTTGCTTTCCCTTGGCCCTCAACCTGGCTCATCATCAGGTCTAGCTATACTTTGTCTGCAAAGTATTCCACAGCCACCTGCATAAGGACTGTAGGGCATTTGTGCCCCATTCTTGCAAATCTTTTTGTAAATCTGAGTTATGTCCTCCTTTGTTTTGCTTTCCTTCTCTCTCTTCCTTTTCCTTCCCCTCCTCTTCTTCCTCTCCCTCTCCATTTCTCTCTCTTTTTCTCTCTCTCTACCCTCTATTCTATGGTCCAAACCACCATCTCTTCTTACTCAGATTGTTAGTTACTTATTTACTGTGATAGGTTAGTTTGGTGGGCTTGGGCACACATATTCTTGCTCTCTCACTATGGATTTCCACAGAAGCCTTGAAAAATTTCATTCTTCCTCCTTTTTGTTTTGTTTGCTCTATTTTAGCAAAACATATGTACCATTAAGTTTTTCATTTAACCATTATGATTCACTGGCATTCTGTGCATTTGCATCAGGTGGCAACCATGTACCTTTTCTGTCATTGGCTAATTTCACTCACCATAATAATCACATGGTTCCTCTATGTGGGAGCATGTACCACATTTTATCTATCAGTCAATATTTGCAGTTTTTTGTTGTGTATAATATAATTACAAAGGTGGTGTACAGGGTCATCTTTAAAAATTACAAACTGGTGCCTGTAACTTCCCAGCATGAAAGCTAAGAATAAAATTCAAATCTCTTTCTCAGCCCACCCTCTCTTTCTTTCCTCTCCACCTACCGCTCACTTATCAGACCCCAACCACAGCAGCCTCTGTCCTTTCCACAAACACACTAGCACATCCTCAGAATAGCCTCTGCACCTGCTCCTCCCTCTGCCTAGAATCCTTTCATCCCCATGCAGAGCAAAGCCAGCTCCTTCTCCCCATCCGGGTTTCTGCCGAAACATCTCCCTAGAGGGCTTTCCTGGCCATCCATGCGTCAGTAACTTCATGGACACATGAAGTCCCCACTCTACTGTCAGGTGCTGTCGGTTGTGTTTCCACACTCTGCTGGCCCATGAAGCAGGCTGGGATACCAGAGCAGAGCAGTCCCTGGCACTCAGGAGGCTTTCTAAATGAGTAAAGTCTGGACATCTGATGTCACTGCCCTGAGCAGAAACACAGCAGAATAAAAGAGTCTCAAGACTTACCCCGAAAGGAGCTGATAGAAAGGTGACAGAGTGCATGATGTTGGCTCTCATTTCATCCTCACTGCACTTGTCACTCCTGCTTTCTTACCCCTTGGCTGCCGCTCTGGCTGCCACCCAGTGGAATCCTGGGGCACATAAACATATGGCCTGGCGGGCTACACCTGATAGGATACTATCCAAGCCACATGTCCACTCTCAACTATGTCAGGTGTTGTGTTCTCGGACAACGTAGAGATGACAGGTTAGACCTGGCAGGGCACGGCCAGAGCAATTCTTAGTTGCGACCTAATTCACTATGTCACGTGATATGTAGAACGAGAGAGCCCATTAGTCTGCGTCTCTCTAACATTCAAAACGCTATGTCATTTTTCAGATTGTGCTTGATTTCTCCTTCATCAATAAGAGGGACAATTCTGCCAAGCTGGCAACAGATAGCTCCACCTCCTGTTGAGACAGACTCCATGAAAGGCTGGGAGAATGCCAGCTACTATACAAGGCTCCGAAGTTCCAAAGTCTACTCTTAGGCTGGGATAGCTTATCAGGAAATGCCTTCTTCATCCTAGTGCTGTGGTGATAAGCCACTTCCTTTGGGAGAGGCATAACCAAGGCTCTCCCTTCTAACAGCAATGTAGGGTGGTAGAGGACAGGTCTGGAGACTGAATGCCCCGTAGATTACCTGTTTTACTTCCTGTGGGATCTTGAGATGACCTTCAAACTCTTTGAGCTTCAGTTTCTGAAAGGGCAAAGGTAAGTCAATGGACAAGGATGATCTAGATGGCTCCTCTGCCTTAGAGACTCCTAGCCTTGGAGATGGTGGTCAGATTCGGTAAAAAGATGCAAAGATATATGAGGGAAAGAAGGGGGAAGAAAAGCTTCCAGGGTTCTGACAGTCCTCACTCCCCATAGCTCACAACTGAGAGTATATTTCAGGACTCTAAGCTAAAGAAAAAAAATTGGGGGGTCAGTGGCAGAGGGGGTGCAGAATAGAAAAAAAAATTAAAAAAAAAATTAATCCTCCTACTACTAAAATTAGCATTTGTAAATTGGTGGAATGCCTGTGGATGCTGACAGCTTCTTGTCATAGGATACAATGGGCCTTGCTTTCAGATCCCCATGCGACAGGTGAGTCTCCAGGCCTCCCTGAATATTCTTGAGTCCCTTCAGGGAGAACCCCTGGACCTTCATGGCTGCTTCTATCATTTGCTTAGTTAGAGCTATGTTTCCATAAAAGATGAGCATGAGTTGTTCATTCACTCATCAAACAATGCACGCTAAACACCTACTTTGTGCCAGTCCTGACAGCTATAGACACTGAAGATGGACTTCATTCTTGAGGAGCTTGACGTCCAAAAAGCTAAGGAGACGGAATAAATAAGCCACTCTGAAGCGATCCATTCTAGACACTGGCAGGCTATCACAGGAGCTGCAGTGGGAACCCAGAGCAGAGAACTTAACCCCAAGCTGAAAGTTATCTTCTCCTGTGAGGGGGTTCTCTCTGGAAGAGAAGATGTCTGAGCTCTGCTTTAGGGGAGTCTAGCGGCCTATGTGTGTCATTCATAAAACGTCAGCTCACAGCTGCTGCGGACTCTGAGAAGATGGTCCACCACGTCTTGGAGAAAGGGGTATCTTATGGGGGCAGGGGGACAGGGAAACAAAGGTTGTGAAGCTCTGATAAAGACTCGGCTGAAACTGTTATCAAATTAGGCCAATCACCGTTCCTTTCTGGTGTCACATGAGTCAGAGGGGCCCCTTGGTGGACTGAGATTTTTCCCAGAGATGTTCAAGCTGGATGAGAGAGTGAAGTTGCTAAGTTTCTCACCAGAAAGATGTAAGTGAAAGGCCTAGGCTTGGAGGTCTGGTGAGGAGGGAAAGGCCTTCAGGAGGAAGTGGGCAGGAGAAAAAACGGAGAAGTGGTGGGACAGGGAGCCTGTGCCAGGGGGTGAGCCAGTAGTCAGAAAGCAACTCAGGGAGCTCCGAGGCTCCAGCTGCAGCTGCCGCTGGTTTGTGTAAGCAGAAAATACAAGCTTCTGGGGCTGCAAAGCGTGAGGGAGAGAAGCCCTGGCAGGCAGATCTCAAATACAAAGTAACAGAATGCCATTGTCTCCTGTGAGCACGGGAAAGATCGCTTCACAGAGGCAGCCCAGTTCAGTGGGTACCCAATGTGCTAAGAAGAAGAAGAGGGGAGCCCCTGCTTCTCCTGGCATAGCTGTAGAGCTTCACTGTTTCCTCACAGCAGTGATGTTTTTCTTCATCTTCACAAACGTCTTTTGTGTGGCCACCATGAGCACCTAGTTTTCAGGGCTCATTTAAAGCTGACCCAGCACAAGATGTAAATTTCTCCTAACTGGTCCGCAGAACCACCCACTATATTCAAGAATATGACACTTGCTGAGGAGATAGGGAAAGAAGGAAAGGACACGAATGCTTGGTTTTCCATGAGATACCCCAAGTGTGTCGGCACTCTACAGGCATTGTTGAGGGTATAGCTAAGTGTGTGAGTGTGTGTGTACATGTGTGTATGTGTATAAGTATCTGTGTGTATGTATACATGTGTGAGAGAGATGGGTGGTACAGCTGGGAAGGAACAGCAAAGCTTCCTAGGAAGATATAGGTTTCTCTGCTTGTTCAATAGATATCTGCAAACGGAATAGGGTCGAGCTGCTTGAGCAGGCAGCACTTCCCAGAGTTTTTTACAGCTCCATCTGGTCCTTACTGTTGAAGTCGAGGGAACATCCCATGATCTGCTGTAACTTAAATATGTTCCTGAGGCATTGGAGACAGGTCTTCCCTGATTCCCCCCCACACACACACACACACCCCAAAAAGTATGAAGTGTGACCAGCAGCTGTAGCATTTCCTGGGCTGCCTACTATTGGTACAGTGACAGGCCAATCTTTTCTTGACTTGGAAGCAAGCTTGCTAGCTTTGAGCCATACTCCATTTCTTTCCCGTGCTCCTCTTGCCTGCCTTAGGGATAGGAACAGCCCCAGGTTCACGTTGTGCTGCAGGTTGGCTGAAGACTTCCAGGGGTCACCAACTGAACATGAGGAACCTTGAACCTGGAAGTATCTTACATGTGAATCATTAGCTTTGCTCTGTGGCTTTCCGGAGAACATCTGTGGTCCCTGGAGCTCTGTTGGGAGGAGGCTGTGGCTGAAGAGGAGAGTGAGGCTTGCCAGGAGGGGCGTTTCTTTTTTCCTAGTGGACAGCAAGAAGGGGCAGAGCCGCCCTAGGGCTGTTAATACCTGTTACAATTGACAACATTTACTGAGCCCTTACCACTGCCCAGCCTGTATTAAGTGTTTCTCCTGGATTCTCTCATTAAATCCTCATAACAAGCTTACACGATAGATACATAATTGGCTCCACATTACATGTGTTAGAATAAAAGTTGGTGATATTAACTGAGGAATTCTCCCTTGATCGCCGCACCCCTCCCTGACTATGCAGGGATTAAAAAAGTCGTTCTTGCCCCAGAAATCATTCTTTGCCCACAAGTAGGAAGGATTTATTTTAATCAGAATAAATAACAACTAAAGAGAGAGAGAGAGAGAGAGAGAGAGAGAACAAGAACAGTGAGACAAAGGAGAGAGGGAGGGAAGGAGAGAGGGAGGGGCGGAAAGAGAGAGGGTGAACAAACAGTCTCCCGAAAGGATTTGTGAAACCCACAACATGGGCAGTATGCTTGAAGACTCATGCCGTTGATGCCCAGAAGAATTTAGGCTTTTGACTTGCTGTTTAATTGAGAAAAGGTTTTCTGATTTCCGAAAGCTTGGCCTGTTTATTAAGAGCTGAAAGTGGGAGAGTAGAGTGCTTGCTGTGCAAGTGTGAAGATCCGAACTCATTTTCGAGCTGGCATGGTAACACATTCTTCTAACATAGGCATGGGGCATTGACAAGAGGATCTCTGGGGCCTCAGATCTCTCTCAGCCTAGCTGAAGTGGTGATCTTAAGGTTCTTATCTAAAAAGTGAGGTAGAAGGTCCCTGAGAAATGACACCCAAGACTGACCTCTGACCTCTACAGGAGCGTGCAAGCACCGGTGCATGTGTGTGAGTGCTTGCGCACACACACAAGCCCATACACAAAAAGGTACATGCCAGACCATCAGCAGCATACATGGGTGTGGTCTGCACATGCCTGTAAAAATAAAATAACATTAAAAAGAAAAAAAAATGGAAGAGACTGAAGGGTTCCCTTTATTACGGCTTGAAAATTAAATGCCCTCCCACGGACTCATGCGTCAACACTTGGTTCCCGGTGGTGGTACTAATTTGAAAGGTTCTGAAAACACCAGAAGGCAGATCCCAGTGGGAGGAGATAGTCTTGGGAAGCAGTAGCCTTTGAAGATTGGACCTGGCCCTCAGTAGACCTTCTGTCTACTTCCTGTCCACCACTAGGTAAATGGCCTCCGCCTTCCATGCCTCTACCACCATGATACTTTACCTCATCACAAGCCCAGAAATGGAGCCAAGTGGACACGGGCTGAACCCTTGATTCCATGAGCTAAAATGAAGCTGACTCCCTGAAACCGTTTCTGTAAGATCACATAGAAACAAGGGTCACTAATCCACAGCTATCAGAATGTGATAAGAAAAAAATCCCTGAAGGATGTAAGAGCCAGGCCTCCCTTCCTCAAAAGAAGCAAGGGTGAAATAAGGAAGCAGATGAAGAAAAAGACAGTTTGCAGAGCATCTGAGGAAAGAGCAGGAGAAGGAGGGAGCCAAGTTCACTGCTGGCCTAGAAGAGGAACCAGAGCTCTCCCCTTTTCACACCCTCAGCACCTAGCCTCACCCCGCAGTAGCCATCATCATCTCCAAAATATAAGAATTCAAGGTAAACGTGAAGGAACCCTGATGATGGGTCCTGGCTTGGGGTTTATATCTTAACTAGATGTTTGAGAGGGTTCTGTGCCTCTTCAGTATACACACGTGCACACACACACACACACACACACACACATTTATGCACATACATTCACACCACATGAATGCACACGTGAACACAGAGAGAAAGGCAGGACACACACACATTCACCTGCGTGCATGTTTGTGTGCACATACACACATAGCACCTGAGGCCAGGAATATCCTGGGAACTCATGTTCTTCTTATCTTGGGAATGAAGGGCCCTATAGGCTGT